GGGGGGGGGGTAACACAGGGGGTCGATTCATTGATTCTTCCGATAAAACGCATTTAATCAGTGCTTGTCCCTAAGTAAATTTGTTGGTGGAACAACGTTTTCGACGATATATTACCGTAGCCGTATAATTATCAGGTTAATTGCAATAATTTAACTGATTTAATTACAACGTCCGATTAATGCGCCCGCCTGTCCTTGCGCCGAGTAACAGTTTCCGTGACTACCATACGATTAATTCAGTTACCCGTTTGGCCAAACAATTTTGTGTTTGATAATAATGGTGTAGCCACGTAAAGGGCGTTGATAGTCGATTTGTAAGCGGACGATGATGTGCGTGGCCTACCTATGGTCGAATCGATGTCAATATCAATCAGCTTACCCTTAGAAGTCTCAGCGTTAGAGGCCGGGGCACGTGGTTAGACATAGATCATGATTGCATCTGTTCGAAGGTAGTGTCACGGTTAATGCACCTCCACGGACGGGCCGTGTAAATTATCGTTTGAATAAACCAGGATGTCGTGGTTGGTCTACTGCTCGTAAGTAGCTGGATGCTTTGATCGATTTGCAGTAAGTAGACTGTGAATAGTTATGGATTTATGGAAGTCTTAAGCGCGTAAAATAGTAAAATAATATAATGTACAAAGTGCAGCAGCACTTGATATGAGTACTTTTTATATAAGTTTTCTTCGTTTGAACGAAATTTTAGTCCGCGTCTGATTAAATGAACTCGCGTGGGCTGAATCTACTTATCGGAACGTGAACTTCTATTACATACTTCTATTACATATGAGCAAATTCATACAAACGAAATTCGTCTGTATGTGAAAATATACAGAATATTAAAACTAAAATATACTGGTTATGTTATCTAGAGATCGAAATTTTTGTTGCTTTAATCGTTCATAATTATTCATGATTATATATTTGAAATTATTCGAAGAATTATTTATATATTAAATTGTAACTATTACAGTTTTATTTGTAGCTTGTCATACGTTTTTCTAAAAATAAGCTAGCATCCAAATACCTTCGATCCATAACGCAAATAAAAAGAATTGGCAAAGCCGAATATCATTAGCAGTAAAATATAAATGCAAATTTGTACTATATTTTACTATAATCGTACCATGTAGTAAACTCTACCAACATTTCGTACGAACAAGTAATAAACGATAATATCGTCCAATTTTCCTGTCCCTTTTCTTTCCTATCTTTAAAGCCTAGAGAAAGAAGAATAATTACAATTCGGCCTGAATAACGTAACTCGTCTCGTGCACACCAATTTCTATTTCCTCCGTAGAAGTGTCCGTCGAGCGAGGATCGCGAAACGGGCTGCTTCACACGCCACCGGGCGATAAATTATCGTTCGTTACAGACGCAGCTGTAGAACCCGCCTATCGCGACCGAGATTGCTTAATTGGACGATTCCCCTGGAACGGCTCTTAATTATTCGACGATCAACCAAATGAAACGGCTACATTGGAAATTTATTCTATCCGGTCGAAATCGGAAAACTTGTTTTTCCAGTTGCATTCTAGCCAGTTAGCGAATTGATAACGTTAAATAATAATGAACCTAGATCGTCACGAATCTCGAAACGATTCGTTCGAGATCGCTGATAACTCGTGACTCGAGTTTCGTGTTAAATATATTCGCTGTTATCGACATGTACGTCGCGTTCGTGCAAGCTACTGTTACATTTTTATTCTTTTCTAGATTTTAGCGATATAAAAAGTGATATAAAGATATAAAAGTGATCTAAACATTTTTAGAAAACTATGGATAACGCGTCATTAGCTTAGCGTACACACGAAGAAATCGTTCTTCAAAAATCTTAAATTTGATGGATTATCAATATTGATCTTGTCGTCGATTATAAACTACGTTACAAAAGAAAATTTTACTGTAAATCACATATCATTAATATTACGAAGGTATAGATATAAAAATATCAAAACCTCGGTAGTTAGCGAATAATCAAAATATTTATGTGATTTTCTCATATGAATTCAAATTTAGTAAAAGATCCGTGAGTACTGCTAGTAAATTTTTTACTGCATAAATTAGTCTAGCGGAAAGTTACAGTTCCATTCCAAGAATTTTTAAAATCTAAAGCCGATAATTCTCATTCAACCTGGAATATGAAATTTCTTAACTTGTTATTGCGAAAATATAAACTTGTTGTTGTGAACATGCATTAAGTCATGCGAAAATTACTTTGATTAAATATATGAAATTAAAAAAAAACTATGCATAATTTTGTTTGATACGAGCCAATTTAACAACCGTCATTATCACTTAAATAGCATCCAACAGAAGCAGAAGTGGAACATTTTTAGTAAAAACAATTTTTCTAATTCCAACGGCGAAGCAGACATCTTTTAATAACAGCGAATACATTAGATTTTGATTTGTCCATAAAAGGCGGTTAACGCGCCGAAAGAAACTTCGAAATTGTAAGAAGGATTGCGATGAGCGCGGTTTGCGGCGTACACGTACTTATCGATGGCCGCATCTCACTTTTCTCCTTTCCGGTTCAATCTTCGAGAACAGTTAGAGGTAACGCAAAGGTTCGCGAATCCCGTGACTCGAATCGTCTTCGAATCGCCGACCCCGATGGAATCACAATAAGGAGATCCAAGCGTTTCAGCAAAGCAAGTAGTTCCTTCTCCACTGAGAAATAAATCGAGACTTCTTATTACTCTATCATACTTCTTCTTCCCCAATGAACCATTGTTTGAAATGGAATTTTTACAACGCACACCACCATCTGTCTTTCATATTTTCCACTTTTCTTAATGACACTTTGTACCATTAAATTGTATCACTGTATACATCGTTTGTTGAATTACAAAATTAAATAATTTGATCAAATTACCCTGATAGCTTCCCAAAAAATATAGAGATAAGAGGACAATTCTTGGAATGTATTTGCTCAAAAGGAAGTTCATGTCACGCTATTATCATTACCATCAGTTTCAACCGTCAAAAATAGCCTACTCGTAAACCCTAGACGCGGAAGCTGAAACAAGGAGCCAATTTTCAAATGTTCTCAGTCATCTATCCCGTGGAATATATTATATTTATTCGCTGTTCTTGTTAAATATAAATTCATTTCGCGTATCGTCTTTTTATACTTATTTTATTAATCTTCTTTTGTTCGCCATTGTGAATCTCGTTGAAAAGATTTTGTATGAAAATTGCACGTAAAACTCGGTGAAGTTTATCGAAAATCTGAATTGACAAGTACTTTGAATTATCAAGGAAGCAATTGATCAACGATGATTTTACATTCGTGCAAAATAACGACTTTGCTCGAGTTACAAGAAGAACGTAATGTATTAAGAGTCACGTGTTGGTCTCTACAATCTGCCGACCTAAATCTCACTGAAAGAGTTTTGTATGAAATACATGCCAAACTCAGAGTTTACTTAAACCTGAATTGTAGGTAGGTTGATTACGGTCACGTTATTCAGGATCGTCCGACTTAACTTACTTCTTCTCCACTGTCAACACACGCGCCTCTAACATGCTATAGACCTGAGTACACGTACCTCTTTGTTATCCCAGCGCTTATATTGCCGCCATTCGGTGAACCCAGGACGTCGATACTCGAGAGTATACTCCTCGACGTATTCCTGACCACGGCCGTGATCGTAACGACCCTGACTCTGTACACCAGTGATCACGTGAGGTCCAGGAAGATCTACTTGCAGCCACTCACGAATTCCTCTTTCTATTTGGCTCTTCGGGCACCAGGCACCGCCTGCTGTCTCCTTCCGCAACCTGTTTTCGTCAGAATTTGTTAGCGTTACGTGCTGCGGCTCGTTTCGATGAATGTTAATGAGACGTCTAGATCGATGGCTACTCCGTGACCGTTTTCAATATTATATGACTATTTTTTACTGACTAATTTTTGAAAAATCTCGAGACATTTTCTTAATTTGTTCGTTGGTTAATAATTTCAATAATTAATATCAATAGTTTCGATAATAGGATCAATAATTTAGAAAAAAATCCGAGGATATTTTCTTCGTTTGTTCGATAATTTTTTCCTGTTAATCTATGTAATATCGTGATATAATGTGTGTGTTTACAAAGGAATGGAAGATAAGAAAAGGCGATTGTTGTTCAACCTGAGCTATTCTCGCCAAACGTACAGAAAGCAGCACAACTAGATGGTTAGAATACGACTCGACTCTCGCAAAACGCAATCAACATTCTCTCGGTAACGCCACTCGCAAGCTCTGCTTCTCCGCTCGCACGCTGCTTCTCGACTCGCACGCTGCTTCTCGACTTGCACGCTGCTTCTCGACTGTCTCTGGCCGTTGTCGCATTCCATTGTCTTTTACCAGGCCCACCGCACACGTGTTCTGCAGACGCTCGTGGCCAGGGTCACGTAGGTCTTTTCTACGAACTATGCACTTGAAAGGACCGACGACACTTTGATGGGCCCGACGGTGCCTCGGCTCTCGCGACATTGTTTATGGTTCGCCCGATATCTCTTAGGCCTTTCATCCACGATACTACATCTATTAACTGGGAAATGTGAGTTAATTCATCACTTGGATCCTTAGTCTTTCTTGGATATTTTAATTTTTTTATTTTACTTGAGGGTGTTCTACTTTCTCAAGTATCATTTTATTTTAAAGGACCGAAAGTGACTTAATTGAAATTGATTTGAATTTATCAACTTGTAATTGTCTCATCGTAAAAGTTTCTGGGTAAGGGATGATATTTTTTAACAAGTTAGATTAAGTTGTTTACGAGAGCAGCTACGTGATATCGATTAAATTTATTCCACTTAAACTACTGCGTTGGTTTCTTGATAACTAGATAAGTTGGATATAAACGTTTCTTATAAACAATGCATGGATTAGTATCAGTTAAATGTTACGTGTATATTCAAATTGTTATTTTAATATTTTAGTACCTAACAAATAAAATAGATATCGTGTTTTTTCTACTTCAAGTTCATCAAGGGTATTGATGAGATTTTATTAAACACATATTTATACGCGTTCATATTCCATTGAAATTCAGAGAGGGATTAAAACCCCATAAAACATTGAAAATTTTGTTATATTTCAAATAGATAATTTTTCAATAATACTCTCTGGATTATTTATCACTGGATTTTTCGCAAAATTCATTAATCACGTTTCAGAGAACTGACGAAATATCCGTGGAAAAAAATAAATAGTGAAAGGAAGAAAAAACAGAAAATTGGTAAACCGTTCGATCGCATTGATATTACGAATCGAAATTTGACACGCGCAGCAGTTTGCGTTGGCTCGAAAAGAGGGTTCCCAAAAATCAATTTTCATTCCCGTTGAAAATTTGTCCTCGTTCGACCAGGCCTGCCAATGCACCGACTGAAATTGCACAATAATAATCGTACCGAAAATGTAGCCATGTCAAAATCGTACGAGCTCAATTCACGGATCGTTACGCCATATCGCCGAATCCAACCAACCCTCAACCCCTTCTCCTTTCTACCAGTTACAATAGCCAGTGGTCATTTTTCATTCCAATTGGACAAACATAATTAATTGATATTATATTTCCGCCCATAGTGAACAGAGACATGGCAAATATCGAGAGAGAGAGAGAGAGAGAGAGAGAGAGAGAGAGAGAGAGAGAGAGAGAGAGAGAGAGAGAGAGAGAGAGAGAGAGAGAGAGAGAGAGAGAGAGAGAGAGAGAGAGAGAGAGAGAGAGAGAGAGAGAGAGAGAGAGAGAGAGAGAGAGAGAGAGAGAGAGAGAGAGAGAGAGAGAGAGAGAGAGAGAGAGAGAGAGAGAGAGAGAGAGAGAGAGAGAGAGAGAGAGAGAGAGAGAGAGAGAGAGAGAAAGCTATAATTGCTACTTTAAGTTCCTAGTCTAAAATTGCTCGGAGTTAATTAATTAAATTTCTTTAACGGGACTTTTCATGACGATGAATGTTTATTAACGTGACCAATGTACACGAAATATTTCAAACAATCGAGAATATCGACGTTCGGAATCGAGAAACGAAAACCTCTTATTTGATCTGCTGCAACAAATAATACTTTCAACTGAATAAGTTTTTAGGAATTGCTAGGAATACTCACAAATAGAAGTTTTCTAGCTAGGAAATTGACAGCATTTTATGAACGATAAAGTCGAGAATCATTTTTACGATGTTGAATAGGACGGAAAAATACATTTTAATCTGACAACCGAACAGAAGGACAATTTTGGTAATACGAAATTTATGTCGATTATTGAATTCGAAAATTGCTCCTTCTTAGACTGTTGAGTAATTTATGATAAAATTAAAAGCCCAAAAATAATGTTTATAATTTTCGTTACAGCTTTTAGTTCGCGAAACAAACTACTGTGCAGGTTTTTTCACATTTACATTTACGTTTCGTTAGTTCTCTCCATAAAAAATGAAATTTCATAAAAATTCATAGTCTGTCATGTTTCTTGCTTGTCATCTTCATATGGTCGTGTAGTTCTGTAACATCGCATTGGAAGTATCCAATTAATAAAGAATCGCGGGGAGACCAGTTTTGGAAGCGGCGCGAAGTTAATGTTTCACCGATTCCTGAAGAGCGAGGAGCTCCGTCTAGGCGCAGTTATAGTCCTCCGGCCATTACAGCATCGTTCGAACAAAGAAGAACAATTCACGGGGCCATTCGCCGGTTTCAAGAACTTCTTCGGTTCGAGGGAAGTGTACTTAAACAGCGAATCCGGGATTCAGTTCTTTCCACCGTCCCTCTTTCCCTCTTTTCTCCAACCTCTCTCTTTCCCAACCAATCCCCTCCTTTTCGCGTTTCCTCTCGTCCCGACGCTCCCCACGTTTTCTCTAAATCGACCCAATGAAACTTTCGCGAAACTTTTACCACCTATTGGACCCGCTCGTGCTCCCTACCTAATAACGAAGTTAACTTGCCGACTGATCAGAGGATCCGTCGCGTTTTTCTTGCGAGTCAACGACGTCGATTTCATTCCGTGTGTTCCCATGTTGGTATTCTGCTGTTAAAGCGTTTGTCGTAGCATTTTGTTTTGATTGGCTGTATTATTGGACACGAGGTTTAAATAAATAGAACCAATTTGTGTTTCATCGTGTTTCATCGTGTTTCATCTTTTGATTGAAGATTCGAATAATCGTCAGAAGAGTGGTCTTTGTAAATGTTTTCAATGAAGTTTAGTATTCTTTTGTTAGTCGATCGATTTGCTTGTTGCGAGGTAGCGATATTGCATTGGAAGATTTAAAGGTGTGATTTATTAACCTTTTAGTTCTGACGGACTTCGAGTGAACATTTGTTTGTGCAACATTGTGCTTGCGCGTTAGTGCTCGAGGTATACATACTTGAAGCACGAATTTTTGAATATGATTCTTCTACATTATTGTTGAAATGAAAGATTTATTAATACACCTAATAGAATTTACTTAACTTGTGTAAATGTTTTTTGTAAATATGGAAGGAAATGTTTGAATATTTTAAAAGGATGTGATTTAATTAAGCATAAAAATATCAGCAACGATTTTGTTCTGTATTACCATTACAGCCACGCGTTGTAAAATGTTATGATATGAAAGAATTGATTTTATTCTGCAAAACGTTTTGTAGACCAAATAAAAACAGTTCTTATATATTTGTAATTTATTCATAAAGTTATTACTAAATAATTTAAATTCGTTCATTTCATGAAAAAATAATTAATATCTTCACTTATTAGGTTATTTATAATTTACACATTTTGGTAAAATTTTTGTTGCTATATAAATAAACGAGGGTAACTGAATACGTTACAAAGAATAACGTGTATTAAGGTATTCGCTACCCGCAACTAAAGGGTTCAAGCGGTTAAAGTTATATTAAGGTATTTGTTTCTCTGCAAGTTTTTGGCGTGGCTCTTTCTGAAATTTCTCAGGACTGTGAGAAATTTCAGTGAAGTTTCACGAAGTATTTATTATGGTGGAACGTTAGTTCCATCCCTTATGGATGGCAACGCCAAGTGTTCCAGCCGTCTGAACGGTCCTCATTTATAAGGTGCTTCCAGTGTCTGACCACGGCAGTCTACTACTACTGAATATCGTTGCCACGCGTAAATAGGAAGGCTCGTTTCAATAAACGTTCTCATGAAACGAACACGCGAAGCAATAATAGATTACGAATGTTTATGCAAGTTTATAACAAATTTAAATATACAAAAATGTACGGAATGCGTATAACATGTCTGCGAAGATATAGGAAAAAATTATAGCATAAAGCATTTAGTATAATACTGCCTTACTTACTAAATAAACCCTGTCTATCATTTCGAGAAAATTGAAGTTTTATTATTCTTCTATGCCGTCTTTCTTGCTTTTCATTCAATTTAAAATATTCAGCCATTATTTCGTAAGAGCACAGATAAAAGCCAGTATAATGTGTAACTTCACTTAAAAGTAAGGAACACGAAGAGCTTTAAATGTTTCATCGCATCTTGAAAAATGAATTAAATGCGAGATAAGACGATTTAACTAAAGAGGGCGGAATGTTTCAAGGGTAAAACACGTATCTATTTAATTTTCATTTCTTTTAATTATACTCATAAAGATATGGATTTAACATTCGCAATCCAATCTTCCGCGGTAGTAATTAAACGAACATTCTAACGAACGTTCTAACAGCTACTTCGAATAATTTCATTCGAATATCCTCTTCTTTCCTGATTAATCTCATAAAGCTGCAGTCTCAATTTCATTTTTCATGAAACTCGATAGAAAAATTCTATGCTCAGCACGAGAACGTTCAGAAGCATGTACAGGAAGACAAGGTCGTGGCCGGTGCTCGATCACGCGAATTGCTTCTTCACTTCACCCCAATAACAACGCAATTACGGCCGGATAATAATTCTTGCGGGAAACTGCCAATGCCGCGCGTAACTTCGCTCCGAACGGTATCGAGCTAACCGCTTTTTTCCCTCCTCTGTCGCTGGTAATTTTCGCAAACGCCAGGAGAAAAAGCGGAAACAGTGTCACGGTGAGCCTCGATTAATTTTATCATCCAACGTTGGACGTGATTAAAAGTAAAGTTCCGGACGAAACGGCCGCGACAGCCGGCGATCGTTAAATTACAGACGCGAATGAGAGACAGCAGAAATGGCAGAAAGAGACGAGGAGGAAGAAGAAAAGCAGAAAACAGGCAGGCGGGAGAAGGCAAGAGGAGTATGGCCGTGGCATCTATGAGCGGCACGTTAATGTAGAAAGCGTGTCTGTCGCGGGACGGTTTGATCTGTTCTCCCTTTAGGAAGCGCGTTAAAAAGGCAGCCGTGGTACCATTTAACGGCGGCTCGACGACCAAGGGTACGCAGAAAAGGGTACGTCGTAAAAGTAATGCGCTCACCGGCCATTTCGTGGACCGACGTTCGTCACATACGACGAGGACGCCGTAATGGCTGAATCCGGTATGTCGCCAGACTCCATCCCCAAGGATTGATTGCACGCTCCTGAAACACATCGTTTAACTTTGTTATTATATGTACGGTTTGTACGTATGAGTCGTTCGGAAGGCACACCAATCAACGCCACGAGAAAGTGGAAAGAAATTATGTTACAAATATTATTTCTTTCAACTTATTTATTCAACTTATTTAACTTATAACTCGGAATTTATGGTTATTTATATTATTTCTTTGCGATATACGAATCTATAGAAGTAAAATGCTTGGTTCCTATGAATGCGACGTTAAATGTATTAGCCACGATGTAGTAAGATTAAGAAATTTATAAAAGTGAAAATGATCAGTTTCAGAATAAGTCTTTCCTCATCTGTGACTTGCTATTATTTTACGTTGCGATTTGTTGACAACTTAATGTGTTACGAATCTTTCAATGCTTTTGTGATAGATAATGATGTAAGAGTATGGAAGATAATAAACGATTAGGGCAGAAAATGAAGAAAATGAACCGAAGATAGATCCTTGGTTTATTAAGGTAATCAACTCATAAGGTTCTCAAAAAGTTTGTGCTGGTTTTATAGTTTCACTGTCGTTTACTGTGTTTGACTTAACTGTATAACCGACATAGTTACCTACGCTTACAACTTCTGTATTTGCTAGATCGCGGTCGTAGCGATTCACCGTTCTCCCCTTGTTTGCCAGAGAAATCATGGCGCACAATGATCTAACGAGGAATCGAACGGCCATTTCCGTCGTGGAATCGTACTCCATAGTCACATTCCACGATATCTATCGTACAATGTCGACCGACGATCGGCGAGCGGAAATGTAAATTGAGAGATTAATAAGCCTGGCAACCAAATCGTAGAAATTCTAATCTTTCCCTTACGGTTTCTTCGTGGCTCTATTTTATATCATGCGGTGAAAGTTCGTTGTTCGACCGAGCAAACACAACGCGAAAGGTCTAGAAATATTTGTGACAATAATACGCCCATGGGAATACAAATATCGTTGACGTATTGGTAGGTTGGAACGGCGAGTGGTGGACAATTTTTCCTGTTTCGATGCTCCTAAAAAATTGAACGCAATGTTGCATACACGACAGATCAAATGGCTCCCTATTTGATTTCCTGTTTCAATTTTTTCGGTGTAATTGTGCGAACGATAGAATTTCTCGTCGAGTGAATTAAGAATGTTTATGCTGGAACGGTACACGTATGATGAGTAATTTAGGTTTAAAGTATAAAGTATTATATCTTGAATTGAACATTTGGAATTATCGTGTGAACAAAGAATGTCACTGAAGATTCGATGTGTCTTTAAAATACTCTAAACATCTAGATATCCTTGAGAATATTTTCGAGAGATAGTTGAATAACTATTGAATAAAAAACAGAGCAGTAGAAAGGACGAGAATGTTGACAAGAATAATAGCAAAATGTTAAATACGAATTTAGAGACCAGAGTGTGTCACAATTTTTACAGGAAGTAGACAATTTTTTAATGTAGTTACCATTATTTCACCGAAATCTCACAATTTCTATGTTTATAAAAATATATTAATTCAATGTTTGTTTCTTTATAACATCCCATAAACAGCAAATTTCAATCTCATCGAACTCAATAACGCATCAATATATCTTTCTTGGAGATGCGTTCATAATTCATTTTTTTTCAGCTTCTCTGTTTCCGAGACTTTCATTAAAATCACGATCGGTAGATAGACGCTGCAATCGTTGCTCGGCAAGTTGATGGATAAGTGACGAGCGTCTCTCCACGTGGTATTATCCGGTCGCTACACACTTATTAGTCCGTCAGCTATCTCATTCGCGTTTCAATTTACCCGAAGTTTACTGGCATTCGAGTATAATCTTTCCATTAAAGTTTTCACCGGACGATAAAAGTCCGCGCGGCCTGGCCAAGTCCAATGTGAGACGCGAGAGATTAATCGGCGCGAATAAATTTACATTATCGAGATGAGGAGGATCGACGGTTCTTTCGCTCTCGCGCGGAAGACGCATTTTCAATTGCGCGCGGATTAAACGCGGAATCTTCTGCAGAAGGGCTGCCATTTACGGCATAACGAAGTAAGAGATTCTTGAATGTAGAAGTATATTATGGGTGTTCCATAAAACAATAAGAGAATTGGAAAGATAAAAGACGAAGAAAAATATCTGAAATTATTACTCTAAGAGGATTAACGTTTTCCTTCGATACATGATTTGATATATACGAAGGAATCTCCAATTTATAAACGTTCGACAAAGATTTATCGTCTTTAAAAATGAATTTATTAGCGTCAAGAAGAGACAATTAACCTTTTAAATATATTAAATATATTATAAATATAATAACATATATTACAGTGCTACAATTAGAAGATCGTTCTCCGTGTCAATTCGATTTTTTACATCTAATTTTTCTGTCTATATATTTATTTTCTTTTTTAATAACTGTTTGAAAATCTTTGTCGCAGTATCATACGGATAATATACCAATTTATCAAGCTTATATTACTTTTCCATATATGTTCCTATATTTCATCATTTATCGTTTAACGTAATAAAACGTCTCATAATAGGCATTCTCTAATTATGTTGAGTATTGTATTTCGAAATAATGTACGCGTAATAAGTGGTTATTATATCTTTATCTATTTTAGAATCATGTTTAAATTAAGCAAACACTGAAATACTATGTGTTAGTATCCCTCAAGAAATCGATGACACTGGAATCTCCAAATATTGCAAGAAATACTACATGACAGGAAATATTTTTAGCTGTTAAACGTCCTGTTCAACGTGAACCTGTTTTTCATTCACAAGCTGGCCTGTTTATTAACAACAGGTTTCCAAAATCAAGTGCAGGGTAGATTGATTTCATAGACGTTCTTCTTGGCTTCGGCAGCTGTACGATGGTAAGCATGCTTCCGCTCGATTAAACCTTTTCCCTCTTTTCCCTTTCATCAATCCTCCTACGGAAATCCTTTCCGAGTAAGCCAGCTTTCCCTTAAACCGAGCCGACGAACTTTCCTTCCGCGGAAATAAAGCAAAAGATTCTTCCAATAAACATCGCCGCTTACGATTTTACTCTGACAGGGAGCGCAATACAAACGAAAAGTTCTCCGTAAATATAGCTTTTTTCAGAAAAAGCTTGTACCTATTCGGTAGAACTCGTAAAACATTCCGTTTCACGAGTTTCTTTTTGCCCATAAAAATAACGGAATTAACGGGTGAAGTGACCTTTCCATGAAATATTTCGTCGTTAATTATTTTAACCATTGGTGTACCCATTTCGATATTCCCTTTTTGCGAAATTAAACGCCACTTAAAACACAAGTCGACATGTTTCTTTCTGAGACTACAAAAAGAGAAGCGAGGGTTTACGCAACTTTTCAGCGGAACGCGACCTTCTTCTCCTCCCTTGAAACGTTCACGTTGAACATGCCGACGCTAACCGCCAAACAAATCCACCGTGATTCAAGGAAAATGCTCGGCCGTTCGCCGGAAGTTATAAAAAGTTTCAATGAAACGCTCCCTCGTTCCTCGGACCGTTTGCGCCAAGCTGTCAGAGTCTTCAATGGCATTCATGCATCGCCGGCGTATCAACGTCGCGCATCGTTTACCGCGCACGTGCACGCATTCAATGTAAGTACCGATGCCAGAAGCATCCTTCATGATCTGCGTACTTCTTTCACGGTGCTCGGCCGATTTTCAAGCGGCGACGGGCGTCGTCTATTCCGTGCTCGCTATGAGATTCCACCGGATTGGCTCGTGACGGATGAGGAATTGCATGCTGTGTGAACCTTTACAAAGAAACTCATCGAAATTTGCTATTAAATCGTTGTACCGCACTTTCTTTAGCGAATCACTATCGTTTAGATTGTGAATTTACGAGTGAAGGAATTTCGTTAATTTCAGTGGCAAAGAATATAGTAACTTTTGTAAATGGATATAAAATTTCGTATATAGCAATTTAATAAGTTAATTCTTCTTATCTATGGGAGCGTATAACTGTAGTTTGCAATCTGGGTGGAACCGTTAAATATTTCTCTTGTGGTTTGTTTCGTGAATGATGCTCATTTGGATTGTGAGGCCATGATAGCCTGATAAAATAATAATCTTAATATAGCGATTTAGTGCGTTAGTTTCTTCATTTTATTTCGTGGTAGCTATAGTTTGGGTAGTAATATTAAATCCTTCCTTCTTTATCTTCCGCGAATGGTTTCCATTTGGATTGTGAGAAATTTTTAATAACTCGGATGACTGATAAACAAACTGCAGATATTTATGTAAATCTATATTTTCAGGAATATCGTTAAAGATAGGACGTAAGTAGAGAGAGGTGTTATATCCGTCAAATATGTATATGTCGTAACGAATACACTATACTTGAGATATTTTATATATTCTAGATATTTTTGCAGTATTTTTCAAATTGCTTATAAACTGTATAAAAGTCCGCGGACTATCGATAAAGCAGTAATTTTTATATAACAATGTCAAATTTTGACATAGTAATCTGGTGTTCAACTTTTTCATTTTTATTTCGTAAAAGCGTAAGCTGATAGATCGCTATACTGGCAACATAGTAAACTAGCGGAGTGACTTTATAAATTAAATTGAAATTCGCAGCACAATTTTTTGTCCATGGATGCAGCCATCTACATTGTGAAATTATGGGGAGAAGGTCTCTGACAAACTATAATTTGACACGTGACAAGAATTCTGTCAAATTTTGACATAGCAATTTGTGTTTAGTGCTTTTTCCCACTGATAGATTGGTACAATAGTAGATTGGTATAGATTGGTAACATAGTAAAATAGTAGATTGGCTATATAAATTGAATTGTCGTGGAATACTAGTCAGTATAATGTTCAGGCATGTCTGACCATAGGCAGGTCACATTCTACTGTCGATTCGCGTGTCAGTCACGTCGAACGTTTCTGATTGCTATTACAGATATTAAATTGGTTGGTTTGTTTACTAGGAATCCCAATCCCTCGCGATGATCATATTCGTTACATCAACTAAATTCCACTTTCTCG